ACAGGGATGTCACCAACGCTTTAACTCACTTCTCTTTTGAGGAAAAGTGCTTCTGCATGGCTAGTAATATTCTGGGCCCAGAGAATTCTTGGTACTAGCAGGATAAATGGGTGACGGACTGGACATCCTCGATGTGTTTTGCTCCTTTTTCTCAAGCAACAGAGAATGTTGCATTCCTCTGAATTACAAAACAATAAGCGACTTCTTTGCTGGGAGGTCCTAGCGTCTTGCAAGTGGCCAGTAGCCCCCACATCTTTCTTCTTTACCTCTTTCCTTGGTTTGCACTGCAATACCACTCTGTTTGCAGCCTTACCTTCTCATTCGTTTCTACTCACAGGCACAGGAACAGAACAGCCACAGAACCACTTCCACCCACGCAGCCCTGACATGCCTCTGTCTGGGTCGTGACACATGTCTCTGCATAGGGTGGAAGTTTGTATTATTTGTTACATGTGAAGACTTAAGGGCTTCTTGTACTAGCCCACAGAAAAGATGTGGATTACACCCAGAAGTTTTAAGCACACTTAGTCCTGGAAAATAGGAGTGCCTTTGATTTTTTTTTGTTTTAAACCTTCTGGAATCAGCTGCCAGGTTACAACCTGCTCAGTGTCCCAGCTGGAGAGATGCTATCTGTCTGGCGTTCCAAATGTACCAGCTCTGCATGCTATAGGTCTTGCAGACCCTCTTCTCCAGAAGAGAGCAGTCCTCTGTGCTCTTCTGAGAGAGGGCTAACGCATGTGTTTGGGTGTCTAAGCTGCATCAGAAGCAGCTGAAGTCTTACTCCACCCCACTCACACCGTTAAATATTGTAGATTTGAGAGATGAAAAGCCAGCAAAGATTTGAGTATCAGCTTTGAGAAGCAGCAGTAAAAGCACACCCTTCTTGTGCAACATATTGGGGAAAAAAGAGGTGTCTCCCATTACTCTCAGCTGTCTCGTGTGTTGGTACCAGTGTTACTCCACTTGGTCCCACCTGACAAAACCTATACATGTTACTGCACTGGAAGTGTTAATTAGGATTTGTTTTGCTATAGGTGATAGTTGATGTTGGTGTTTCTCCCCGTGCTTTCCAGTGGCTGAGATGCTCTTCTACTTTGCCTTTCAGGTTCAATGTCTTGAGCGGCAGAACCAGGCTCTGCTGGCCAAATGGGAACTTCTGCAGCAGCGAAGTACCCGACCAGAAGAGAGCAGAAACATTGCCTCTTTCTTCCAATCTTACATCAGCAACTTGCAGAGGCAGCTGGAAACGCTCCAGAACCAGAAGGAGCAGCTGGATCCGGAAGCATATAATATGCTTCAGCTTGTTGATGATTACAAAAAGAGGTGAATAATCACAAGTCTAGGAAAAGGCAGACTGGGAATTCCCAAGGCAATGACAGTCCTACCCTGGGATGGCATAGCTCAGCTTCTTGCCTGAGTGTTGTAGGCATTATAGCACGAATCTGCAGCAGGTTCTTTACAGGACTTGACTTTGAAGCTGGAAGACAAAAGCAGATGTGGTGAGGGTAGAAGCCAGAACAGTAAGAGGGAAATCAGAGGCTCTGTGGATCTATCCCACTCTTTTCTCCTCCCCTCCTCCTTCACACCCTTCTTCCCCCAGGCAATGAGTAAACCAGAACTCCTTACTTCTGCTGGTAGTTGTGAAGGTATGGTCGGCCTGTGCAGTGGGGAGGGACAGACCAGAACAGCGGCGTGAAGCTAGAGAAGGGTCACTTCTGGCTTAGATGCACCCAAAAGAGAATTTACATCCACAGCTCTGCAGTACGGGAGGTTTAGTTCAGAGTTACAAGGATGTCAGCACTGATCTGTATCTACCATGTTTTGCTGGCTGATTTAGCATACGCTTTGCGGAGGGTTTGCAATTGCCTTTGCAGTTGCCAGAAATTGCAGTTAAACGAAAACTTGACACTTTCCCTTTTTGGATGATTCCCTTTGGTTTCTGATCCACTTGACTGAAAAAGTAAGATAGGTAATGAGCTACAGATTTTTTTTCTGTGCTGCAACAGATTCGAGGATGAGATCAACAAGCGCACGTCGAAAGAAGAGGAGTTTGTGGAGCTTAAAAAGGTGAAGTAATGCAAGACACTGAGCTAAATCAAAGCCTCAGAATCAAAGCAATACCTGGATGGTTGCAGGGTATTTACTTAACTTCATTTAACTCCCCTCTAACTGAAGCCATCAAAAACCTAAGCTCTTTACTGCAAGGCTGGAGAGAAATAGTTTCCGCTAGAGACCAGTTTGGTCCTTTGTAAGGTGGTTATCTAAAAGGTGATGGTCTTTCTCTGTTCACTCAGTCACAACCTAGATGAGACATCGTTATTATGGGTTAAATAATGTGTATAGGTGGCTTAGACAGGAGAACAGAAAACTTAGTCAACTTTTTATTAGAAGAATTAATGAAATATGTGTTTCTATATTTTGCACTTTCTCAAGGAACTTTCTCTCTCTATTGCCACAGCTATTTTGCTTATTTCCAAGCCATTCTTTTCTTCTAAGAGTTAAACACTTTCTCTTTGTTCCAACTGCTTTTCAAATGAAAGCTGAGGTTCACAGGCCATTATTTGACTCCAGGAATGAAGGCTTTAAAGAAATGTACCAAGTCTTGCAAGAATTGCACTTCAGTGGCGAGTTTGCCATCAGAGAAATATAAATATGCCTATGGTTTTTTTTACAGGAACTGGACAGTGCCTACATGGGAAAAATGGAGTTTGATGTTCGGGTCGAAATACTGAGGCAGGAGCTTGAGTTCCTCAGATGCTTACATGAAGCTGTGAGTATGCTTCTCAGATTAAAAACTTGCCCTCAGGTCTTGAAGGGCAGGTATCTTGTGGACGTTCCCAGAAATTTCGCCTGAACAGGACTTTGTAGAGTGGTGTGGAGAGTGGATCATCCTTGGCCTTTGATCTTGTTAAAGTCCTTTTTTGTTTGTGAGTGAAAAGGGGGTCTGGTGTGTCACAAAGTTAAATTAAAATTGGAATTAAAACTGGTGGTGGAACAATAGGACCTGAGGGATGCAGGTAGGGAAGTTCCAGCGGGTAACCGGCCAGAGGGTCCCATTTCTTTCCTCATAATACAACCTGGCCTGTTAAACTCCAAAATCTTGGTTTCCTTGCAGGAGCTGTCCCAGCTGCAAACAGTAATTGGCAACACCAATGTGGTTCTGTCCATGGACAACCACAGAGAACTGAACATGGATGGCATCATTGAAGAAGTCAGGCAGGAGTATGAGACAGTTGCTCAGAGAAGCAAAGCTGAAGTAGATGCCAAGTACCAGGGCAGGGTGAGTAGACATCAACAAGACAGGAGCCAAATCTGTCTGCTTAGTGGAAAAGAAACCAAAAATATCTGTTCTCTTCTCTGCACATCAGTACCAGGACCTTCAGAACATGTGGGTAAATCAACGTGAGCAACTGAGGAACAGTTACCAGGAAATTCAGGAACTTACCAGGCAGATCCAAAGACTCCAACCAGAAATTGAAATTGCAAGGAAAAAGGTAAAGCTGATACTTTCCAACATGACGAAACTATTTAAGTCACCTTTCCATGGGGACTCAGTGCAGTATAAGGTAGCCTGTCCTTTGGAGGCAAACCTAGAGATGATGTTTTCTCTTCAAAATAAACAGATTTAGATTTTGGCTGTCTGCACTGGGATTTAATTTGGGTTAATTTACCCTGTCTAATGTATCTGCTGAGTTCTGTCACTGAGACAGGTCCAAGGACTGCCCAGAAGGGTTTGAAAATCCCAGACCCATAGAAGGGAAATGGACACATTCTGTTTGTACCCTCTGCAGCACGCCAGCCTCCAAGGAACCATTAAAGATGCTGAGCAGCGTGGGAGCTCTGCCATCAAAGACGGCCAGCAAAAGCTTCAGGAGTTGGAAAATGCCCTGCAGCAGGCCAAAGCTGATCTCACTCGCCTTCTTCATGATTATCAGGAGCTCCTGAATGTGAAATTGGCCCTGGATATTGAAATTGCCATGTATAGATCACTGCTTGAGGAGGAGGAGATCAGGTAGGTACAAACTATTCATCCTGGATAGAAGAACCTGTACAAAGCAGGGTGTCCCATCCTTTGACCTGTCGCTTAGATCTCCAGGACAAATTGCTGCCTGGTAGCAGTGAGCTCTTTCACTGGCTTACTGATAGAGCTGGGCCTAATGTTTACTTTTGGCGGACGCGTTATCTCAATGTCACTTTTCCTTCGCAGGATACAGGAAGGCTCACCAGCCACAATCTGTAAGTATCTCCAGGCTTTGCTTGGCCATTTATGCGAGCACTGCTATCATTTTATTGTCTGTGGTAATTAACACCTACCATCAGAACAACCCATCTTAGTTCCTGTCTTAGTTTACGAGGGAAACGCAGCAAATGGTAGTCTCTCGTGAGGGTGTGTGTGTGAATACACATGTATCCACATGAATATGTCAAGAACGAGCTACTGAATTGAGAATTTATTGGCTAGTTTTACCCAAATTTGTAGGAAGTGGGAAACACTTCACTTACTCTATAGGTGTATGCAGTGCATGTCAGAACTGAAGGCAGAAACCACCCCTAGACCTAAAGGAGAGAGAAACCTGTACTCCTGGCCTTCTTAAAGGGAGGGCTGTACTCAGTGTGTGGTATGGAGTGAGATCTAAGTGAAGCTAAAGATGAACTGGTAAAGCCAGAACTACATGAAAAAACACTTCATAGGTAGATCTAGTAATGAAGAACCTTGTTGCTTGTTTCCAAAGACATCACGATGAACTCAAGCCGAGGTACAATGATGGCCACACATAAGTACTTATATCAGATGTGCTAATAATATTTCAGAGTAAAAAGGAAAATGTAGAAATAATTTTCATTTCTTGCAGGTGTCATTGATCACAATGTGAGTGCCACTGAAGTCCTTGGAGTTGGATCTGGAGGCTTCAAAAGTGGGAAGGGTAGTGTGAGCTCTGGGGGGACAATCAAGAACAGAAGAAAAGGGTCAATATCTGGAGGAGGAAAAGGCAGAATCTATGGAGGAAGGGAATCAAGCTCTAGCAGTGGTGTGCCCATTTGTGGAGGAGGAGGAGGAAGCGGTGACCCAGGGTACGGAAGAGGAGGAGGAAGCTCAGGTCATGGAGGCTCCATCTCTGGTGGTGGCCAGTCCATTTGTGGAGGAGGAGGAGGAGGCTCAGGGTATGGAGGAGGAAGCTCAGGCAGTGGAGGCTCCATCTCTGCTGGTGGCCGGCCCATTTGTGGAGGAGGCTCTGGGTATGGAGGAGGAGGAGGAAGCACCGGCAGGAGAGGCTCGATCTCAGGCAGTGGAGGAGGAGGAAGCTCAGGTAGTGGAGGGTCCATCTCTGGTGGTGGTGGGTCCATTTGTGGAGGAGGAGGAGGCTCAGGGTATGGAGGAGGAAGCTCTGGCAGGAGAGGGTCGATCTCAGGAGGTGGAGGAGGAGGAAGCTCAGGTCATGGAGGCTCCATCTCTGGTGGTGGTGGGTCCATTTGTGGAGGAGGCTCAGGGTATGGAGGAGGAGGAGGAAGCTCTGGCAGAAGAGGCTCGATCTCAGGAGGTGGAGGAGGAGGAAGCTCACGTCATGGAGGGTCCATCTCTGGTGGTGGTGGGTCCATATGTG